GAATGCACGGGGGAGAGTCCTTGTAGAATGGATCGTTGCCACCGGCCTAACTGTCTTGAATCAGGGAACGGTCAACACGTGCGTGCGACGGCAGGGCGGGTCCATCGTGGACGTTACGTTCGCGAGCCCTGCCTTAGCGCGCCGTGTCCACGGCTGGCGAGTGCTGGATGATGTGGAGACGCTCTCGGACCACCGCTACATCCTATATGAGATCTCCACTCATCCGGCGGTGCCGCCGAGCCGTAACCGAAGTCGGAGGGAGGAGGGACCGCGATGGCAGCTGAGGCGTCTCAACCCGGAGGTTTTGAAGGAGGCGGCGATCGTAGCCTCCTGGCTGCCCCAACACGCTTCATCACCAGACGAGACAGCAGAGCGCATTGAAGAGTTAGCGAGGCGCATCTGCGACGCCGCAATGCCTCGCTCTGGGCGTTGCCCCCCAAGGCAGCAAGTATGGTGGTGGACGGCAGAGATCGCGCAACTGCGCGAGGATTGCGTCGCTGCCAGACGTCTTTACTCGCACTGCCGTAGGAGAGCGCGCCGGGACCAGGCAGAGGAGGACAGGAGATATGCGACATACGTGGAGGCGAAGACGCGCCTAACAACCCAGATCGCCAGGGCCATATCTATAGGACGAGCCGAGATGATGGAGGGACTCAATAGAGATCCTTGGGGTACACCATATCGAGTGGTCTTGAACAAGTTTCGCCCCTGGGCCCCTCCACTAACCGAAACACTCGAGTCAGAGGTATTGCGGAGTGTGCTGGAGACTCTTTTTCCGCACAACGACTTCCAGCCGCCGGCGATGAGTCCACACATTGAGGCTGAAGTTGACGAAGGACTGGAGGACGTTCCAGAGGTCGATGAAGAGGAGGTGGCGGTTGCTGTAGTGCGCCTGCGTGGGAAATCTGTTGCCCCTGGGCCGGACGGAGTACCTGGTCGCGCCCTAGCCCTAGCCATGGACGCTTTAGAGCCTTGTGTGAGGGGACTATTCACTGCCTGTCTGGCTCAAGCCATAATTCCACAAAGGTGGAAGACAGGCAGGCTAGTCCTCCTCAGAAAGAAAGGGCGTCCAGCGGAGTCTCCATCCGCGTACCGCCCCATCGTGTTGCTGAACGAGATGGCCAAATTATTTGAGCGCGTCGTTGTTGGGCGCTTAATCAAGCACATGGTGGAGGTTGGGCCGGATCTGTCGGACGCGCAGTTTGGCTTCCGCGGCGGTCGCTCAACCGTGGATGCCATTCTGCGGGTCAAGTCCTGCGTGCAGGATGCGGTCTCCCAGGGTCAGGTAGTTTTTGCGGTGTCCTTGGACATCGCAAACGCCTTCAACTCCTTGCCCTGGGCTTGCATCAAGGAGGCGCTCCGCTACCACGGGGTGCCGACCTACCTGTGTCGCGTCATCGGGGCTTACCTCTCCGAGAGATCCGTGGTCTTTCCTGAGCGGAACGGCTGGGGGAGACGGGAAGTGTCGTGCGGAGTTCCACAGGGCTCAGTTCTTGGGCCGCTCCTGTGGAACATTGGCTATGACTGGGTGCTGAGGGGCAGCACTTTGAGAGGAGTCAGCGTTGTCTGCTACGCAGATGACACCCTTGTCTTGGCGCGGGCGAATAGCCATAGAGAGGCGGCGCTACTAGCAACGGCGGGAGTGGCCCACGTTGTCGGCAGGATACGCCGGTTGGGGCTGAAGGTTGCCCTAGAAAAGTCCGAGGCCCTTTGTTTTCACGGCACTCGAAGAGCGCCTCCACCGGGCACGCATATCACAGTAGGTGGAGTCCGCATCGGCTTGTCGAGTACGATGAAGTACCTAGGACTCGTGCTCGACAGCTGGTGGAGCTTTAAGGCGCACTTTAAGGCCCTTGCGCCGAAGCTTTTTAAAACGGCAGGTGCGCTGAGCAGGTTGTTGCCCAACGTGAGCGGACCAAGTTGTGCCAGCAGGCGCCTTTATCTTGGGGTTCTACGCTCCATGGCGCTCTACGGTGCTCCAGTAAGGGCGGACGCCCTCTGTCGGGAAAATGTGGCTGTTTTGCGGCAGTCACAAAGAGTGATGGCGCAGAGGGTTGTGCGAGGGTACCGCACTATCTCGGGCGAAGCAGCGTGCGTGCTGGCTGGAGTTACACCCTGGGACCTGGATGCGCTTTCCTTGGCGTCGAACTATTTTCGGCGTCGAGGCCTTGCGTCCGGGGACCTTAGTCCAGCACCGCATGAGAGCGAGGAGGAGCGGGATGCCGCACTTGAGGAGTGGCTCTGCAGGCTGGAGAATCCATCCGCTGGTCGCAGGACCATTGACGCAGTTCGCCCCGTCTTTAGGCAGTGGTTGGCGAGACGTCACGGCGTTCTCACCTTCCGGTTGACGCAGGTCCTCACGGGGCACGGGTGCTTCGGCAGATACCTGTGCCGCGTCGCCGGGAGAGAGCCGGATCCACGCTGCCACCACTGCCACGGCTGCGTCGATGAGACGGCCCAGCACGTGCTCGAGGAGTGCCCAGCTTGGGTGACGGAGCGCGAGGCGCTCAAAAGTGTTGTGGGGGCGGACCTGACGCTGCCGGCCGTGATCTCTGCCATGGCCGAAAGCGAAAGGTCCTGGGATGCCGTCCTGTCCTTCTGCGAGGTCGTGATGTCGCAGAAGGAGGTGGCGGAGAGGGCGAGAGAGGCCAACGCCGAGCTCGCCATCCGCCGCAGGAGGACCGGGCGCCGGAGAGCGGCCCACGATCGCCGCCTCCCCCCCTAACACCAGCCAGAGGGCGGTAGACTTGGGGAAGTCTGCCGCCTAATCACCTGGCCCGAGTAGGCGCGCGCGGTGTCCCCCGCGCGCTACTCCAAACGGTGGTCGTCGAGGGTGCTGCTCCCACCCTCCGACACCGAGACGTGCCGTAGGGCAATCGCCGTCGGGGTTCGCGGATGATTTTGGTTCCCGTGGCCCCGACCTGGAGGCGACAGAGGTGGACACCGTCAGGTTTTAGTGGGTAGGCTGCCGCGCGTTTACCATCTTTGCGCGGTGGGAGCCCCACATAACCCGTCGTTCTTCCCCAGGCAGCGGGTACCCGGCAACAGGGTTTCCTGACGAAAAAAAAAAAAAAAAAAAAAAAAAAAAAAAAAAAAAAAAAAAAAAAAAAAAAATTATAAATGTGAAAGACGGATTGGCGTGATTTTTAGATAGCGTGTGGATAGATAGTTGTAGGGCTGGAGAGTGACACAAGCTACTTTTTACCGCGGGAGATTATCTCATTCCTACCGAAAAATATGTTATAATACAACCCAAAAAATTAACTCTTCAATACAAATAAGTACGTTTTAGCATTTTTAGATTTAGCGCGAGCAAAGCCGCGAGTTCTGCTAGTATTATATACATAGGCATGATAAGTTTTATATCCTTAACTTGAGAAATTATTGATTCCCCATAGGGATAAAAACTATGTCCTCCCCAGGATCTCAAACTATCTCCATACCAAATTTCATCTAAATCGGTTGAGCGGATTAAGCGTGAAACGTTAACAGCCAGACAGAGTTACTTTCGCATTTATAATATTGTTATTTTTTGTATGTATTATCTTTACAAACAAAAATATTCTAAGCCAAATTATCATCTCATTAACAATATATCTATATATACATATATATATTGCATATTTACATTCTCCCAAGCATGGGAAAGAAGGGCGGAAGACTACTCTATTATATGCCATCACATAGAAATAGCTAATATTATAGCTAAATTAATAATAGGCTCTATAATAAAAATAATAAGAAAGAAGTGACACTTCTATGGGCAATTTGAAATAAATACAAACATACTTTAGCTGTTCATGCAAAAACGTCCTAACTCGAGTTAGGACGTTTTTACATAACTTTATGACGATATATACCTAATTAACAAAGGGGGAGATTGTGTGTTCCATTTTAATTGGTAAAAAGTTAATTTTTAGGTTTTTAATTAAATAACAGTAGACTTAAGTCACTTTTTATTTATTTAAAAAAAATAATAAGCGGGTGTAACCTTAAACGTGCGGTTGAAGTAAAACTTCTTTGGCAAATATCGCAATTAAATTAAAATGAATCAATTAAGGCATGTTAGGCATATTGCAATCATATATTTAGAGAATATCATATACGGAAAGAATATATTAAATATTTCTCACGCAATAACTACGGTTACCATGGCAACATGGCAATGTTCAATCTATTTCATTCTCTCGCCAGTGTAACCCTATGATATATTTATGTGTTAGTCTGTTTTAGTGTTGCATTTCCGTTTCATCAAGTTTCAAATCACAACTATTCTAAAGAAGTTTCACTTCGAAAAAAATTGTACATCTTAAAAGCACATGAGAAAGATTTACAATAACATTTTTTTTGTAATTATAAATATTTATCATATACCTTTTGGGCATATCGGTGTTTTTGATGTTATCAATGTTATACAAGTTATATTAATCAAGGTATACTCGTTTATAAACATGTGACGTTAGCGCAAAAGTGGCCAACTCATATATGCTAATTAAATAGGAAACCACTTAATTTGACCATAATTCGTTTATTTTTGATATTTTTAACGGATCATTTAGATAAAACAGCATTTATGTACACGTTGAAATTAAACAAATGATTTAATTTTTGAGATAGTCCACTTTTGCAATAGAAGTCTTAATTATATTTGTATAAATTCGTTAAAATAATACTATTTACTAAAACTTTTGTAGCTGTCATATTTTCATAGTGTAAATCTTTTAGAAACCATAATCCGTTTTGTTTTTTTAAAAGAAAATAAAAAAAATACAAAACATTTTTTTAAATCGAATTACAATATGAAATCAAATCTTGATATTTAATGTATCGTCAATAAAAATTCCGTGTCATTAAAAACGTGTTCTTAACTATTTTGTATTCTAAGAAAAATATTTGTTCAAAAAGACTTGTTTTTTTTTTCAAAATAAACGAACAGTCATTTTATTTGGCAATTATTTATTTTTTAATTTTTTATCCATGCTCAAAAACATCTATGCTCAATGTTCGTGTCCCATAGTCAATAAAACTGGCATCATTGCACCAATAGCAAGTATAATAACTTCGCATAATGGCAACCCACCAAAACCTTTTTTATTTGGGACGCCATCTTGCATAGGTAATAGAGTATGAGTGTGTGAATGTGAGTGTGTGAGTTCTGGCAAGACGTGAACAGTTGCCACATACAAAAATGTGCCAGCTGAAAACAACATGGCAATACCTGAAAAGAAATTCATAATATAGAATATAGAAAATTTACTTGTTTGTTAAACGGGGCTAATAATTGTATTAATTTAATAAAACTATTATTTTTGTTTTAATTTAAAAAAGGCAAAGCTTGAAAAATAATATGTACTTATGGTAAAAGCTACCCTGATTTTATAGAACCACAATTTGCATCAAAAAGTATTTACATAATATAAACGACATTAGAAAGAACGAAAAAAAAATAACATTGCTTCTAAGGGATCATATAAAAGAACTGGCGACACACCTTCGAAAAAAAAACCGATATATTTTGTTTTTAATTATGTCATATTTACTTGCCTTTAAAAATCAACCTGTCATGCATATTTTCTATACAAAATAATTTCGATGTTTCACATCTGCCAGGCATCCTACGAGGGCTTTAATCTTTGTTTTTTCCTTATATAGTTATCGTCTTTATATTGTTTTTTTTGTTTTCATAACTAGTTAACATTTTACAACATACTAACATCCCGAGAGATATACTTAATGTGCAATCTCTTGCCTACAAACTATCTCGACATAAAAAATCACGTTTCTTTGCTAATTAAAAGAAAACTGAGAATGTGAAGTTTGTATTTTTTATTTGAATGGCGATTTCGGGCTCGAAGGACCAATTTTATTTAAAAAAACTTACCAGTTGCATTAAAATCGCTTAACGTTTGTTTACTTTCATTACCAATACCAAAGTAAGTAAGTAAAGCGAGTAAAGGAGCGGAACAAGAAAAGATTAATAGATGTTTCCTTATTCTATTCCTGTAAATTAAAAAAAATCATTAAAAATTATTTTATACATTACTAGGTACGTTTTAGCGCCAAGCATGGAATAGATAGACTATAATATATTATATATATACATATGATGAGTTCTTGTGGGTCTTAATTGATTATGAAAAGCGGTAAGAAGTAACCTATGTCACTCTCCAGCCCTCCCAAAAAATCATGTCAATCCATCACTCTGTTTCGATGTGAAATTAGGACAAACAAACAAACACACTTTCACATTTATAATATTATTATGGATTTATTAATATTTTTTACCACAGCAATAGACTATTCTTGAGATAAGAAGAAAAAGTACATATAAATTTCCATATAAATATCCTCTGCAGAATCATTTACCCTAAGCGAGAATCGAACCCGCGGTCAATAGTACAATAGTCATGTAAATCGCATGTATAAAATACGCGTCACATAGCACTTTATTGCATATTGAAGGTCGTTTCTTTTTTATCGTTTTTTTATCGATTATTATTATTTATTATTTAAACACTAAAAATTAAAACGTAATAAAACAAGAAAAAAAATTATACATTTGAATATCCTCGTCGCTCAGAAATAATTTAAAAATAAATTATTTTCAACGTTCACACTACTAAAAATAATTTTATACACTAGTGACTCTTTTGTATTTATAATATATGTAGTGTACGAGCAGCGCCATCTTTTGGCATATTTTATTACTAACAGTAGCTTATGCGTTATTCCAGCTCATAGTTTATCTGTGTACTAAATTTCATCCAAATCGGTCCAGCCGTTTCAACGTGAAGGATTAACAAACATACACACATACAAACTTCTCCAATTATCAGTGTCTTTTGCATATACTATTCCTACACTGACTTCCCTTACTTAATCTTCTTTATAAAATAGCACTTTTTATATTATACTAGCGACTTACCATCGATTCGCTCGGGTGCGTCACTAGGTACGTTTTAATATTTTTGAGCGGAAACCTAATTCTTTTTCTAAAATAAAAGTAGCCTAAGTTACTCCTTATAACATCAGCTATCTGCCAGTGAAAGACTCGTCAAAATCAGTCCAGCTGTTTTGGAGATTAAACAGAACAAACAGACAGACAGACAAAAACTTTATAAATTGTGTTTTTCTTGTAACGTATATAATTTCATATGCATTTAGTAAAAAGCTGTTATTTTGACATTACAAACAGACACTTTTTTATTTATCTGTATAGATAAATATATAATATCAGAATATATGTATTATCTTTATGCCACAAACTTCCACCCCTCTTTTCTGCCACTTTAGGAATGTTTTTCAGATCAGGAAAAGAACTATCCTGCGTCTGCTCCATACCAAATTTCATCTAAATCAGTTCAGCGGATTAAGCGTGAAAAGGTTACAGACAGACTGAGTGACTTTCACATATATAATATTAGTATGAAAGTATGAATAAAATATGTAACTAACCTTTCTAAGCCGGCGTGCATTAGAAAAGTGACTAAACCAAAGGCTGCAGGAGCTTTGTGAAGCATTATAGCTAGGAACACTATAATCTCAACGTCTGCGTGAGACGTCGTCGCCGCCGCACCTAGCGCTATTCCATCAGCTGTAAATTACCAAAAAACTATAATTTTCTATACCAACCAAAAAAATTGGTTCATTACTCGGACTTTTGTCTTAAAGCTTTTAAGGAATTTTTCACTGGAAAGTGTGAAGAGACGGGTCTTTCGGCTCACCCGTGACCACGATTGCTGTAAAACATTCGAGACGTCGGGAACGAAAAATCAAAATAAATCCGCGAAAAAATCCGAAAAGATGCGAAGTTTTATGTAAAATGTCCAATATTCGAGTATATCTAAGAATATATAATTTTATTATTAAAATTTTTACAATAACCATTTTTTCGCGATTGCCGATGTTTCTAATGCTGTGCAACAAACATGGTCACGGGAGAAACTAAAGTTTTTACTTCTCGATAGTTATTACAATTTACAGACGATTTCAAAATAAAATGCTTTAAATATGGCAAAAACTCTTTGCTGTAAACTATTCGAAACGTCCGAAACCAAAAATCTAAAAAAAAAGTAAAAACGCGAAAAAATCCAAAAAAAAATTATGTTACTAATTACATAATTTTGAAATTCATATAATTTTTAAGTTAAAAAATTCAGTCACCCTACAATTTTGAGCTTACTGATCAAATCTTGCTCTTCAGGGTTTAAGATGCTCATAAAAATTCACTCTAAATTAGTCCGTATCGCATTAGTAATAAAATAGCTTTTGTAATAAAATGAAATAATAAAAGTGCATAGATTTGACTTCTAATGCATCTCAAGCAATTGGTGCAATAATTACTTAACTAGAAAAAACAAAAATATCTATAATTATTTTATGGAACATTAGAATCTATTACATAATAACAGATAACAAAACTACGTTGCAAACATGACATTTTTCAATTCTCTGAAAATGTCACGTTCATAATAATTTTCTTACAACATTCTACTATTTCGCTGTAACGATTTGAAATATTGAGATAAAAAGTATTAATCTATGCCATTACGACAGCAAAAGTAGAAAAAGAACCAAAAAAACATATTTTACATTTTATAAAAAACTATCTTTTCGGATTTTTTCGGGAATTTATTTTTCAATTGTGATTTCATATAACACATTCAAAACGTCGGGAACAAAAATCAAAATCATTCGTCGGCAATTGCTAAAAAATAATTCTATTTGAAATGTCAAATATTCGCGTAAATAAAAAAAAACATTATATTATAAAAAATCCACAATAATATTTCTTAGATATATGCGAATATTTGAGATTTTAAATCAAACTATCTTTTCGGATTTTTTCGGGAATCTATTCTGCAATTATAATAGCTGTGAAGCATTCGAAAGGTCGGGAAACAAAAAATCAAATGAAATCTGCTGAAAAAATCCGAAAAGATAGTTTTATTTAAAATTTCAAATATTCGCGTAAATCTGAGAAAGTATTATATTATTTTACATTTGTAATATACTACTGACCACAGATAATAAGGCATGTATAATATTACGGGTTTTTTACTTTATTTTTCAATGATCATTGTAACAGAAGCTTAGTTTCGTTAAATCTTCATAAATTATAGCTTACAAGCTTCACAGGTCGTCCCTCTTTCTATTGGCGAAAACCGTACCAAAATCCATGCAGTAATTTCTGTGATTAGTCCGAACAAACAAAAACACAGCGCGGCCTAAGACTAAAATTTATAATATGTACTTATGTAAAAATTTAATAGATTTCTTAAAAATTGTGACTGACTCACAATAAGGTTGATATACAAAAATATACAGATACACAATTAGCGTCACAAAAGTGGCTTTAAAAAGAAGTGCACAATTCAAAATTAAATTGCGATTTTTTCAAATCTCTTTTATTCATTGCTTTTCGGATGATAAAATTAAAACGCACGTTGTTTCGTTTAAAAAAGTACTTTATGTGGTGTGCGTAAGTTCGAATTTGTGTTTAGAAAATTAGAATTTTTGATTTTCGAATTTTATTCTTTGGTTTGACTTAACGTCACACGTCGATGCCACTTTTTGAAGAGATATTTGTTAGGAAATGTGTATGTATATATGTTTTTATATATCAATGATTAGGCCACTTTATTCTGACCGCTTTTACTTACCGGCAGCGTGCACTACTAGACCGACAGTAGCAGTAATATTCTTTTCCGTAGGATTGCCCGCATCATTGTATCTGGATGACAATTGATCTACTAATAACATAAATACGAATCCTGAAAAAAAATGTTATTCTGATAATTTTCTGTTTTTTTTTTTGTGTTCCCATTGTGTCTGCCATCAGTATCTAGTATCTACTGTTAGCAGATTTTTTAAATGGACTAGATTGTCATTACGAGTATGTCTTCCAGTGAAGACATCTCATGTAACCAACTGTTTTTGTTGATGAAATAATTATATTATGTCCCTCAATATATTTTTGACGTGTCAGATTTGTTACGAGCGATTTGGAATAGTCGTTTATTTTTTATGGACGTCTTTGTGTTTTTTGTTCTCTGACACTGGGAATGGAACACCAACAACTTCCGAACTCAAGCTATCATCAGGAACTGAACACAACCTTGATAGAAAACCCTAATAGCCATACTTTATTCGACCCAGGACTCGAACCCAAGACCTCTGGATCTGCAGCAATAGACAACAGACAAACAAAGAGACAAATCTCCTTAAGCTTCATTCATCTATCACATACTTTTTTACATAAAAACATTGACTAACAGTTTTATTATATGTAAGAATATTTACCTAAAACTAAAGATATTCCTATAACTGAATGTAAATCATCTTGTCGACTCGGTTCAGGAGTATAATCTTTAGTAACCATCACTGTTCTTTCGGAGAACAATGCTCTCACTCCTTCTGGTATTATCACAGCTAAGGCCGTACCTACTAATAGGCCTGCACCGAAAACTGTCACTTTTAGAAGTTTATCCTAAAAAAAAAATACCATAAACAATGAAGACTGGAGTGGACTTTATTTATTTATAACACAGTATATTGAAGTAATCTTTGTCCATGGGAGGTTAAACTCAGTATGAACTCTGAAATTATGATATCTATATGGTCTATATGATATCTGCTGGGTATCCTGTGACTGCCAACTTTTTTTTAAAACAGATTTTCATATGACCTGAAAATGTGTTTTAAAAAAAAGTTCAGTTAACTTTACACTATAATAGCTCCAAAGAATTTAAGTGAAATTTGGAATTGACTAACACATATTATGCTTTATAATAGACCCCAAAACAATTTTCAAAGTTAAAACAAACTAACCATTTCCATCATCATCTAGACATTTGTTTTTCTATCTTACAGAAAGAAAGACAAAAATCTGTGACCTTAATACTGAACTGATATATTTAATTATTAAATTTCACAATTAACATATTGTTAAATATGTTATATGTAGAGGAAAATAAAACCTGCTTATACAACATAAATTTTCCTTATCAGTATATTACATTGTGCAAATGAAGATAATAACTTTTGTCTGTTATTTCACAAAAAAATTGTATCTTTTTAGAAACTATATTATATTTTTAATATTTTTACATTTTTGAAGTTTCTTTTGGCATGTTTGGAAAAAATTATAAGAGTAACATTTTTATGATGCAAATAGCAACATGATGAAGTTAGCTGAAAGCGACATAATGAAGTTTGAAGAGAGTTGTGACATACGGGATGAAATCTTTAGCTATTTTGTTCTATAAAATATGCCAAAGAAGTATAACTTCTCATGTGTGTACTTAAGTACACACACACATTTTATTTTAAGTAAATATGTTAGTATTATTTAACTAAAACTATGCTATTGGAGAGTTTTCAGAAATAAATCCCTTTTGTTTAAAAGCTTCCTTTCTTTCCCATTTATTATAATAGAATTATAAATGTATATAATATTTTTTTCTTATTGATATAACACCCGTACTAATATTATAAATGCAAAAGTAACTCTGTCTATCTGTCTGTCTTTTACCTTTTCATGTTTAATCCACTGAACATATTTAGATGAAATTTAGAATGGTGATTGTTTGAGACCCTGGAAAGGACTTAGAATATTTTTTATCCCGGAAATCATTTCTTAAGGGGGTGAAACGGGGGGTGGGGTGGGGGAGGAGTTTGTATGGGGAATCAATCATTTCTCAAGTAAGGGATAAAAAACTCATCATACCTATGTATATATTAAAGTCCATATTAAGCATCAAAACGTATCTAGGGATGAACCCGAGCAAAGAGAGTCGCAAGTATATTATAAATTTGTAAAATCAGTCTCCAATATATAATATATAAACACTATAATTCCTAAGTATAGTCCTATAGTAAAAGTCCTTTGTTTCATTTCATTCTACCATATTATGTAGTAAAACGTTGAAATAGTTTTTTTAAATAGCGTGGAATGTTTTTGTAATATTTTAAACTATCAATTCAAAACAACGAGATTTAATAAATTGTTTACAATAGAGTATAAACAGCTGTCGCAGTAGTAATTGGCCAAGAAAAGATATATAATAAACTATATAGAAAATATGCTTACCTCAGACATATTTACGTTTAGAGGAATACTTCCAGCGACATATGAACCAACTAGCATAACTAAGGCCAGCAAAATAAGGACCCAAGTACCATCCATTTTCAATTTATAACAATATCACTCTAATAACAATTAAAAAATAATTTTCCTAAATTAAAAAATGTAGCACTCAATCTGATTTATTTATTGCTCATTGTTTCTTACAAAGTATCCATATATTTCAAATAATAGAAGCCCATTTAATGAATAGAAAGTACGATAAGTACAATAAATTTTGACAACACGACAAGTTTACTACAAATCCAAATGACAAATGACAATTTAACATTTGACAGTAATATTTTTAAGTAAGTAGTGATTGTTTAGTGATGTCAATTGCTCCATTAATTTATTATGGTTTGTGTCTATGGTACATACATTATTATTTGTTTTAAACATTAATAAATTCAAGACATGAAATAAAAAATATAATATAATAAAATTTCTTTTAGCTTTTAGTTTGTACCTTCAAGAAAAAAATGAAGAGGCATATTTTAGCCAAACGCGCTTCAACCTAGACCTCATCAGTGCTCCCCAGCGTTGATTTTCGTCAAGCGCAAACCTATCTAGTAATAAAAAAAATAATAGTTGGTCTTTAATAAGTAAGTTTTTTTAGATATATAATATATTCAATATTGATACATACTATATTGATACATACAATATTGATACATACAATATTGATACATACAATATTGATACATACAATATTGACAAATATTAGGTAACTCGTTACTACCACTCGCTTTGCTCGGATGTGTGTAACCGTAGCCTTACGTATTTACTTCAAGGGCTTCCGGTATGTAGCAGTGTACTCTGTGCTTCAAGGAAAGTCTACCTAAATTTCATTGAAATCCATCCAACTGTTTCAGCATAAAGAGTTACAATCTTACACACACGCACATACAAACTTTCACAATTAAAATTAAGTAGTCTGTTAAAAATAATTAATATAAACTAAAGTCAAAAGAGAGAAAACTTGGAATTTTTCTAATTAATTTAATATTAGACTCATGATTCACGCGCATGAGGATAATTACTAAGTATTAATTCATATTTTCCTTCCTTTAATTGTTATGATATTATTACACTAATGAGTAATATTTCGGTAATGATTGTTCTCGTAAAATGTTCTGTTTCGTAAATTTCTGTTTGTTATTTTTTTTTAATTTCTTTATCCTTGGTAAGTGTATATTACAAAAGTTATTAAGTTTGACTTCTTTCCTAACATAATATATAAATAATAATAACAATAAATCTTTATAATATAAAAATGTGTAGGGGGAAAACTGGGAGGAATTAACCGAAAATTTTTATTGATTAAAAAAAATATCATTATTAACCCAATTATTAATAAATGGTGTTTCAACTAATAGCCAAAGTGACTAGTACAATTATCATTTTCACTGGAGATTAGTGCCAATTTTCTTTCTAGAGTCTTTGATCGCTTATGAGAGTATTTATTGTATCTAAGTTTAACTTGTCTACTTAAATTAAATGATGTGACATTTCTTATTATTTTAGCGTTAATGCAAGAAACTACCGGCCCCATAGCGTACGATAAAACAATTGAGATTGTATATATTATTCGAGAAAAGATGTCTATAACTGTTCGGTTAGAGGACCCATTTGATTGCATAAAATGGGCAGGTTTGCAATACTCGTGTAAGTTAATATCATAAGCTTTTTAATTTTATGTAATATTATGATTATAATTAAGTAAAATCTTTTTTCAATGCTAAAATAAAAGCCAATATACATTGTAAGTAATGAAAAAAAATTGTTACTAATAATATGAATAAAATTTCAGCAACAGAAGAAATAGTTAATTCCACATATTTGGACAACGTAACTATAAAACATATGTCTTTAGAATTAGATTTTTTAAGTAATTATAGTACTTCGGGTATTTTCATTATTTTTAACGACACAAAAGGCAATACTTTTACAAAAGAGCCTTTGTTTAAATTTACTCAATCAAATTCGAGAGGTAAGTGATTCTTAAGTTAATATAATTAAATATGCAGCTATACAACTCTTTCTTGTAGAATAAAATTTTATTGTATTCAACCCTTTTTAACGTCGCACTACTGGGGACGGGCTTTCCTTTAACACGAGCGGAGTCAGACCATCTATACATATAATAAATTTGCAACTTAGCCGAATCTGTACATTAAATATTTTTTGGGAAATCTTATTGAAATAGACATTATTATCGATACATAGGAAGAATTTATAGTTTTTAGAATTTTTGTCTGTCTGTCTGTCTGTTACCGCATCACGGAAAAACCACTGGATGGATTTTGATGAAATTTGGTATGATGATAGCTGGGTATTCGGGTCAACATATAGGATACTTTTTATTGTGGGAAAATATCTCATTTCTGAGAAATGTATACAAAACGTTAAAACGTAAGCAGTAATGAACCCGAGCGGAGCGAGGGTGAGTCACTAGAAGTTAAATAAATTTGTAATTTTTTAACAACATTTTGACAGCAACATTTTGACAGAAAAAATTCAATATTTTTCAACATTTTTTGTTTGTACACATATTTGAGGTAGTAGAAAAGCAAACTACAGTTTTTACTATTTATTCCTATATTGCTTAAATATGTATCGCTTTGTATGTTTAGATTTACACATGTGTGATGATCAGCCACATACTCTTTCAAAGAAACAAAGGTCATGTTATAGGATTGAATTTTATATAGAATACAAAAGCCGTAGCCACTAGCACATTTTTTTATATTGCCTTTTTTGGATATATAAAAGACGTATGTTGAACCTAACCTACAAACCCGACGGTAATTGTTCAATGTCAAAAGTTAGTTACTATCTTTAAAAAGTATTTGTTAAGGAAATCTTAGCTGCTCGTCGCCTTAGTGACTAATTTGTTCAAACAATCAATACTTGTTGTACAGTAGAGTTTTTTTCTTCTATTTTAAAAACAAATCTTTATTTTTAAGATTTATATACATATATAGATAAAGTACATTTTTTCGATTTTCTTAAAGTAAAATGTGTATTTAATAACAATAGAATTTAAATATTTAACAGTCAATAATTCTCTTTGGGTGAATTGGTCGTTTGAACAAATATATACGTACTGTAGAAATTAAAAACTTCACAAAAAACTTTTACAAAAAATGTTTGTAACCTCAATGTTGAATGAAATTCAATACTAAGAAAAATGAGTTTTGATTTTTTTATATGCTTTGCTTAAACCTAGAATTAAAAAAAAAGTAAGTATACTGTATAAGGAAACTTGTATATTCCTGTATATTGCTAAATAATTTAACAGTAATTAAATAATTTAATGTCAGCGATAATTATATTTCAGGGCTTGATGAAAAACACATCTGCTTAAAACACTGTACAATTATTTTTAATATCAAGAAAGTCTTAAAAAAGTATTGCAGTGACCACGGGAGGTTTACCCATCAGTGTTGTAAATCGAAGCATCAAACCTCGATAGGAGGGGATAGTAAAGAGTTTATAACGGCTGAAATAAGTTAGTATTTATAATTTTACATCTAGTACTTTATGAGTGTATAGTAGTATAATAATTATAAATGAATAATATCTGAACTAATCTATAGAGATAAATAAAATTGAAGTGTCTGTTTGTAATGTCAAAATGGCAGCTTTTCACTAAATGCATATTGTGAAATTTTATACGCGACATATAATAAATAATAATAAATATGTAGGGACATTAAGACAGCGCCATCTAGTTCCATGGCAAGCTACGAGGCTTGTGTTATGGATACCAGATAATTGATACACTACACATATATAACTTTAAATACATGCATATTATAAATATAAACACCCATGACTGGAGTACAGAGATTCGTGCTCATCACAGAAATGAATGCCATTAACAAGGTCACTACAAACTGAGCCAAACATGTCGTATAAGAAAAACACATATTTTTTGTCTGTCTGTTTGTTCCGGCTAATCTCCGAAACAGCTGGTCTGAATTTTAATGGAACTTTCACTGGTAGATAGATGATGTTGTAAGTAGTAACTTAGGCTACTTTTATTTTAGAAAAATAATTGGGGAGCCGCTCAAAAATAATTAAAACATATCTTTAGACCAACGCGAGCGAAGAGTGTAAGTCGCTAGTTTATGAGTAATGTATGTAATTAATTTAGGTGTTGATATTTAGGAAGATAAAATTGTTGTTTTTGTTTGTATGAGATTATCTGCCTTCGTACTTGAAAATGGCTGAAAGCATTACTATGGGATTTTTAGTGTAGAGATTGTTTTGAAATAAAAATCCAGTGTATTTCCATTTCCTAAGTATTAATATATTTACACCCTTCATAGTGACAACGGGGTCATTAGAAATACATAATCGTTTTAAATTTAGAAAATATTAATTTTCCATAAAAAAAGCACGCGTCTATTGTTAAGTTGATATGGTTTCTTAAATAAATAGAAAAAACTTTTTTCTACGTTAAAGTTTACTTATTACGTACCATTTTTCGCTATAAATGGAGGGAAAAGTGCAAGTTATATACACGTGTAGTACAAAATATGTAGTAAGTGCAATAAAATGCTTATAAATTATGTACGGCATAAGGGAAAATATTCAATTATACAATGAAAACAATAAAATAATATACTAATATCATGAGATGTTCATTTTAAGTTTTTTTTTACATCTTTCAAATATTGTTATATAGCAACTGATTGATTAAGAAGCGGGTATATTGCTAAGTTAGATTTACGCTACACTAGCAGAACCCACGGCTTCGCCCGCGTTCAAACTACAAAAAACAAACACTATTTCATCCCCTATTCTACCCTCTTAGGAATTGAATCTTGGAAAACGCTGCAATACATAACTGATTATTTATAAATTTCATGCAAATATGTCCAAGGAATAAAAAGTTTCATTCAAACTTTTATCCCCTATTTTACCCCTTTGGGGGTTGAATTTTGAAAAATCCTTAGTGGACACCTTCGTCATATGAGGAAAACGTGTGCGAAATTTCAATTTTCTAGCCTTTTGGGTTTGGCCTATGCGTCACATCACATACATCAGTCAATCACTTTTGCCTTTTACATACATATATCATTTTATATCTATAGATTAATTTATTTTTTATTCTTTTTCAACAGATGTTGAAAAGACAAATAGGAACAGCAAAGAAGAATCAGTTGAAATTGATATTATTCCAAATGACCCTAAATTTTATTACAAGCCTGATATAAATTATACCTTTATATGCAATGCATCACGTTTGCCAAAGAATATGTATTTATTGCTAAATTTGAAAGAAGCCCAAGGTAGATACTTTATACAATTATTTTAATCCAAAATTTTGCAGATACGTATCAAAATATTTTTATCATTTTATACTTAAACGTAAGAAATATAATTTTGCAATTTGCGCGTGCTTTATGAAATGTGCTTCACAATTTTATTTATATTTAAATATTTATTTTTTTAAGTTTTTGCTGTATACTATCTATTTCTAATTATATTATAATTGCTATTATATATTTAGGTAACGAAATCCATAAGTTGTCTAAAAGTAAAGAAACTTTATTAGAATATAGTTCAAGCTTACAAGAAAAATATAACAATTCAAAGATTTATTGTGAAATAAGATCGAAAACGAAAAAAAATTGGAGTATTAAGTCAAGGGAGATAACGCTATTTCTAAAAGGTATGTGTAATTTAAGTTGTAGCACATATCACTCATTACTATACTGTTTGCAGGTAAGTGGCAAGTGACTTTAATACTTTCTTAATTCTTAGATTTACGCGAATATTTGACATTTTAAATGAAACTTTATTTTCGGATTCGGGAGAGACTGGTCTCTCCCGTAACCATGATTGCTGTAAAGCATTTGAAACGTAGGGACCCAAAAATGTAAAATATAAACCCGCGAACAAATTCGAAAAGGTAGTTTTATTTAAAATGTCAAGTGACTTTGTTAGTATATAGTAGTTAGCGTCTACGACTCACGGTTCTAGGCACTAGATATTTCTGCTGAAACAATCTGAGAAGCTTTTAAGAAGCTTTCCGGCACCTGCTCTCTCTCTCAGCTCATCTATACTAATAGTATAAAGCTAAAGAGTTTGTTTGTTTGTTTGTTTCTTGGTTGGTTGGTTAGCTAAACGCGCTAATCTCAGGAACTACTAATCCGATTTAAAAAATAATTTTGCATTAGATAGCGCTTTTATTAAGGAAGGCTATTGGCTATATATCCTCCCGGAAAAATGTACGGTTCCCGTGACATAGATTTGTTTTTGTCTACGGACAAACCCGAAGCGAAGCGAGGGTGAGTCGCTAATTATCTTCTATAATATAAAAATGAATCACTGAATGTGTTGGTAAGCGCAAATCTCGAGAGCAGCTGAACCTATTTCGCTAATTCTTTTTTTAGAATATTCCTTGAAGTACGAGGATGGTTCTTACGGAGAGAACAATTAAAAAAAATGCCTGAATAAGTCTAAAAACAACACTTTTTTATACTCCCATACAAAAGATTCGTAATAATACTTAAAAGTAAATTTGAACTTTAATACCGTAACATAAAGTTTAAGTGTTAGTGGAGAGGTTCCGGGGAGGCAAAACATTGATGGCAATTGAGTGACGTTAGAATCGTATCAATATTAATGTCAATATTTGTCAATGTTATTAACAAAAAAAAATTATATGGCTAATGCTGGCTAATAACTAATTATATCTAATTAAAACGTACCTCGCGACGAACCCGAGCAAAGCGAGGGTGAGTCGCTAATATTGAATAAAGATTACTTGATATACATTTGATTATAAATCGGTTAAAAAATTAACTATCTACATTATAATATTAGAATAAAATTTTGTGTAGCTTTAGTTTACTAATGCCTATGTCAGTGTGACTGTACGCTTATATTGCTGGCCATGAACCTCTCTGGTCCCTCATTATGACAAAATAAATAGAGTTTTGTAGTAAGTAGTAATAAAAATACTACTGTTGACTCAGAATCTAAACTTTACTAAAATCTAAATATTTTTCTTTTAAGAATCAAAAACTCAACAAAATACATCCCTTCAACATGACGTCACATTTCATATGAATGAATATTATATAGGACTTATACTGGGAGTCTTGTGTCTTTCTGTGGGTGTTATTTTATATTTTTACTGTAAATTTCGCGCAAAGAAAAACGCATTACAAGATACTACCGTTTATACATATGTAAGTATTCATAATTTTATTAATTTCCCATAGTTGATTAATATGTTTGTTTTTTTTATGAAAATGTCAGTTTTTCAGTAGGTACTCTGTTGTACATATTTTTGTTATTTGTAGTTTTGGATTTCGCTTTCCTATTGATCTTTTTATTAAATCCCTTATGATTTCATCATACCCGTCTGTCCGTACGTCAGAACCATTTTACTCGAAGACGATTATAGTTACATTAATTTAATTTGATAAATAGACGTGTGTCACAAAAACCACTAGACAATTTTGTAGTTAAATTACAAAAAAATAAAATGTAGGGGTGGTAAGTCATGTAACTGAGAGGTGTTTTTTTAAGTCTACATAATTTTATTAGTATTTCTTTAAAATATCTGTATTTTACAGATATTTGTTAGTTACTTTTTTATTCAAGTCCATAGTTGTAAAGTTATGCCTACGCTTCTAAAGTCGTAAACATTAATATGCAAGTAACACGTTACATACGTTACATTTTTTGTTATTTAAAGGACAACTTATCTTGACTTTTATCTGTCATACACTTTTGTAGTACCTGGGCGATCGAGTTGCACTCGGAGTTCCTTTTTGTTATATCGTATTTTTAGATTTAAAAAAAACTAAAAATTTGAAAAAAAAAAACAAAAGTAAAAACTGTATCCGACCGGGATTCAAACTCAGACACCTGTGATTCTCAATCTTACGCCTTGGCCACTTGACCACGACGCTTATGCCCCAGCGTGCGAAATTAGCGATCATATTTTGCGTGGAATAATACGAAAGAAAGCCGCATGAAAACTCGAAAACACGCGTTTTCCCAGACATAAGACCCAGATGATAGATCTAGATTACTAATATCTAGATTATTATCCTTCCCAGATCTAGATTACTAGATCAATTTTTCGCCCCCGAAAACCTACAGACACCGAATTTCAATGAAATCGTTAGAGCTGTTTGCGAGGTCGCCGGTCTACGTAAATAAATATATAAATATACAAGAATTGCTCGTTCAAAGGTATTAGATATATTTGCTTAATTTAAAATTTCAAATATTTAACAATATTTTTTTCTCTATTTAAGGCAACTCAACAAGAAGTCATGTATGCACAGCTACAATTAGACTTGAACAAGTCACTTTCTGTACCTCCTAAAAATGAGAGGATACCTTACACAACAATAGCGGGAGTACTCAAACCCTCAAATAAAAGCAGAGAAAAATGAAGCTTTTTTTCCTCTCTAGTATAGAATATTCGGACTAACTGTTTTTGTCTTAATAGATTATTGACCCTAAAGCTGCAGAAATCTTCTTTTTAAATGTGTACACTCAAATTAATAAGAATTATCGAAATACAAGCTAAGCCTAAAACAAACTAAACAGTAACTTAACCTTTTGTAGTTGTAGTAAAAAGTTAATAAATAATTATCAGAAGAAATATGAAAATTTAATTTAAGAACATCATTCACGAACGCAATTTTTCTTAAGAATATACGTTTTTATTTTATTTTTTACTATATTAATTTTATATATGTTAATACCAAAAACAAAACATACAACTCCATCTGATAACCTTTATTTGAAATATTTAATATGTTATTACGTTTAGTTATTGCGAAGTTCTCATAAACAGACCGAGGTTGGGAAGTCGGTGTTACACTGTAAGCATGGAAATGATTGCTACTTTTAAATCATTATCACGTGATGAAATTACAACAATTTTTCACGTGATTTCACCTGCTACTTTTCACGCATAGATTTTTGATTTCGACGGTCTGGTGTCACACTTTATATTATTTGCTATTAAAATGAAGTATGAAATGTCACCAATGGCGCTACTGATGTGATATGGAGCAGAGATATAGATCTGACGTAGTTGCATACGTACATGGTGCTTTGAATGAACCTATTTTCAAACAATGAACTTTCCCTCATACTTCTACAGGCTTGGGACTGACAATGTAAAATTAAATGAATTTTAAATATATCAGAGTAATCACACGGTAAAATTGTATTAAGCTAAGTTCCATAATTACATTGGCGTATTTAAAAGTTCATTGTTTTTATGTACAATAAGAATTTTTATAAAAGAATTTTATACACTTTTTGTTTTTCTTAATTTTTTTAATTTGTTTGTAATCATTTTTTTTGCTTTTTGATTTTTTTGATGATTGATTTTTTTATGAGATATCTATATACAATAGTCTTCATTGCTTTTTAAAAATACAAGTTCCGCTGTTCGTTTTCTGCTTAATCGTGCTCTTTTTTGGGTTGCAAAATTTCCCGCTTTTGAAAATACTCTCTCACACTCCACTGATGTCACCACGATGTGACAGTGCTCATGAAATATTTCCGCCAAATTGGGGTACATATAGGAGTGAGATTTCCACCAAACTAATGGCGAAGAATCGCGCGGAAGCACTGGTTCATTAATAAACATTTCTAGCTCGTTCTCAGCGTTGGTGGTTATGTCTGTACGTATTACACATAATCATTCAGTAAAAATTATAAGTATTTGTTGGATAAAAAACTAAAAATGTGCTCTAAATTTAATTGTTGTTTCTAATTTAAAATTATTTCTAAACAATATTTCTAAGAATCCGAAATCATGCAACTCGAAATAAATAAACTCCCCAATTTACTGATCAACGGTATTAACTGAAAATTGTATTTTGTTGAATAAAAAATCAATAAAAACATCAGTACGAAAATGTATACGGAAAATGCGAGTAACGAAATGCATTCGTGAGTAACGTTTCGGTACTCGGTACTAGATGGCGTACCCGTTACTCAGTAACGAATACATACGGTTTGCTACAGCTCTACATTTCACCAAGTTGTGATTTGTAGCAGCCACTATGAATTTAAGTAGCAGGTGTGACGTATGATTACGCATTTCACGTGATTTTTCACTTGCTACTCGTGAAATGTTCCATCCCTATTACACTGTCATCCATGGTTACACTATCGTGCCGAAGCAGAACACGTACAGCCGCAGAGTATACGAATGACAGGAATAGAGAGTGCACTTGTCTTGTGCACTATATTATTTCTTGCACGAAATAAAAATTTCGGTTGTTTCAAATTACAATGCTAATACGATTCTATTCATATTTTAAATTAAGAGCGCACCATTTAAAGTAATTTATTTATGACCCGACTATTATTTTTTTGTAATAACAATTATCAATATCTTTAGTTTGTCCTAATTTTACGCAGCAATTGTGCAACCTTGATTCTTGGCACAGCGATAATCTGTTTCATTACTAATATTTGCTAATAATGTAACAGTAATAGGATTTTTATTTCAATGCATCAAGTAGGTAATTCCAGTGGAATATTAGTGTAATGAATGAATGAATGTGCCGAGTGTAACAGGACTGGACAGCGACCACGCCTAAAGATGAACTTAAAGTTTGCTTTGAGGCCTGAGGGTCCAAGACAAAAAATTAAAATATAGTTTAAAGAGTAATCACGAGCTGTTTTTTTTTATGTTCATGAATTTGGTTCAAAAGTATTTTAAATAATAACATAAAATGATGATTGTGTCGGAAGAGTAAATGTTGACAATTTTCTTAATCGTATATTTTTACACCTTTATAATATGTAACTCTCCAAAAAAAAAACGAATATTACGTAATATAATTAAATGTGCTTACTATATTTTGGTAAAAATCTTGATTTGGAGTATTAATTAATATATTTGCGAGTTTTACATTTATAGTTTTAGTTTTCATGTCTGTTTCGTTATAATTCTATAAATATTTTTTCAATACTAGTTAAGATTTTTGATTATTAATAATTAAATTAAATAAACCAAATTACCCTAATTTAATAAAAATATTACTATAGTTATTGCCTAGTGAGTTATCATCCAAAAATAAAATGAAAAAGAGTAAAGTATTAACTTGAAAATAATTCAATGTTTACATAAAGTTATATTTAAAAAATTAGAAATCATTTATATTTAATATGAAATTTTGCATTCAATGTTGCCTTTAGATATTTTTGTTTAATTTGTCCTAAAATTTTAAAGAACAAGTACGGCACTACTAAAGGAAATGTCAACGTCAATTGTCTATGGAATTATTTTGGCGCACGCGGAAGTGCTTAGAAACAGTTTCCTTTTCCTAAAAATTTTCAAATAATATCTATAAAAACTTTGTATTATGAGAATAACTTTTATCTAAACTAAATAGCTATACAAAATATTTGTAAACACAATTTACATATTTGGTGAGACATTATCGAAGTATTAAACATGGAAGTGACAGACATAAATGATTTGTTGAATGTTAGGAGTATAAAAATGGAAACTGGAGATAATACTTTTCCAGAGGATAGTGAGTGCGTTGAAACCGATCCTCTTTCTATAATGCCACAGTATGTGACCGAGTCAGATTTAGGTAAGTTTATTTATGAGTATATGTAACATATTTGTATCATATTTCACTATACCTACAAAATTTTGTTGTGTTGTTGTTTTGTTTTTGTTATTTTAAGTTTGTTTTGATTTTAATCTTTTAGTGTGTACACTTTCAAGCTTTGGATTTTAACTTTGACCTTCAAATTTGTTTTTGATACATTTAAAAAACTATAATTCCTTAAATATGACATGTTACAATGTGAATCAAAAATGAATAAAGTTCGCTAAAATATAATAAAGAATGTAAATTAAAAGAAATATGATAAATAATATTCTAATTAAAACTTAATGATATTATTTTTTAAAAGAAATAAAAATTTTGATCTATGTAACTACAAAATAATTGTATAGCATTTATATAATATGAAATATAAATTTCATCTCATCACATTTACTCTGACAAAATATTTTTACAGGCCTTTTGCAAACTGGTACTGAAATACTTGAAGCCCCATTAGCTGCTTTCACAGACACTCCGGATGATGATGATACTATGCAAAGTACTGATTCGAGCGGTAAGATTTTATTCTTAACTTAAATGGTATGAGAATTAAAGTGTAAGGCCTGATGGGAAGTATTAAAGCATGTAAAACTTAAAAAAAAAAACAACTTCTAGGCACTAAAATATAAAAAATAACTAAATGGTGGTTTTCATTTAGTATAGATACCTAATCAGATATTTTCGAAATTAGTGCCAGCCGATGCAAAGCATTCGAAAATATTTAATATTTATATCGATACGTAAAATACATATTTACCTATTACATATTCATATCTTAAAATATTGAAGGCTGGCACCGACTAAAAAACTAAAAATAAACTGTTTACATTTATTTGGTTTTGACATCTATCGGCACTCTTGAGTATTAGCGTTAACACGTCACGTGACCATGTAATGACGACTTACATGAATTTACTCCCCATACAAACAAACCTGCGTATACAAGTTTTCACTTCGAAAAAAAATGCAGAAATAACTATAGCAATTCCATTATTTCAGAAGAAGTTATAGTGCAACTCATGGACATAAGGACTAGGTTGTCTCGACTGAGGTCAATGTTAGAAAGACGTTTGAATATGGACCTATCTGATTATACGTTCTGGCTTCAAGATGCTAAAATGGTAATTATTATATGGATAATTGTAGATATTTAAGAAAATATTATACTAGCGACTCATTTTAACGTTTAGCTCAGATATAAGATATTTTGCTGCAGTAAAAAGTATCCTATATGTTGTCCCAGATACCCAGCTATTATCATAAAATACATGGCCGTTCATAAAATATGGGGGTTCATAAAAAACTCAAGTAATTCTGATCATAAATACTTTTTTGGATTGTATTATAATGTGTTTTATCGCGGGACATTATCTAATTCCCATGGGAAAACATGTTACAATACAAACAAAAATTTTTTTTTCGAAATTCATCGTTTACGGGGGTAAAACAGGGAGTGAAATTTTGTATGAAACTACCCTTTTAGAGATTTTTTGTAGTTTTAACGCGAGCAAAGCCGCGGGTTCTGCTAGTATATATCTTAAATGCTATCTTTAAATATTAATATTTTTTATTATATTTTCAGTTGGAAAATCACAAAACGTTAGTGGAACAGTGTATCAGAGGATCTGGTGTAGTACAAGTGAACATTCAGATACGAGCGTCCCAGAAGAAAATAAACATAATGGATGTTCTAAAACCTGATGAAGAGTTATTGCAACTTCCACCGGAGGAGGACTGTGAGTTTATTTTAAATAATATATAAATAAATCTATACTTAATATTATATGTAAATGTAAAAGTGTGTTTGTTTGTTTGTCCTCCTTTCACGTTGATACAGAGTGACGGATTGGCGTGATTTTTTGTGTGGATATAGTTGGAGGGCTGGAGTGACATAGGCTACTTTTTACCGCGGGAGATTATCTCATCCCCCGGGAAAACACGTTATGATATAACCGGAAAAATATTAATGCTCAAAATTATTTGAAACTTGGTATTAATGCTTTTCAATACAATTAAATAAATACGTGTTTTAGCATATTTCGAAATTCATCCCATATGCGAGGTAAATAGGGGAGGAAAGTTTATATGAAACCTACCTTTTTAAGAGTTTTTTTGTAGTTATAGCGTGAACGAAGCCGTGGGTTCTGCTAGTAATAAGTAAATAAATGAAATTACAGCATTTTAATGATAAAAATATTACTATTTTTGACAACCCTTACATTTGGCAGGATTGCCGTTAAATTTGAAGACGATCGCTTGTTGTATTTGGATTTTTATACTGTTGTAATACTGCAGTGGTAGTCCAGTGGTAACGCATTCGCTTTGGAAATCGAGTGAAGCGGGTTCAAGTCCCGGGTTTCGGTACCTCTGATATTTTCAGGTGCGAATCATTTCTAACATAATTACCACTTGCTTTACGGTGAAGGAAAACATCGTGAGGAAACCTGCATGTCTGAGAGAATCTAGCAAGTTTTTGAAAGACATGTGAAGTCCGCCAACCCGCACTCGGCCAGCGTGGTGGACTATAGCCTGATCCCCCTCGTATTGAAGGGAGGCCCACCCCCAGCAGTGGGACGTTAAAAAGGGCTGAATAAAATACTCCTAAGATGTTTGCTGTATAATCTCGATGTTAAATCAACAAACAAACAGACATAGAGGAGGTGCCCCAGCAAGAGGTGCAGTCGCAGTCGGAGGCGGAGCCGCCGCACGCGGCCGCCGTGCGGTGGGTGGTGGACGCGCACTTCCGCGCCGACCGCGGCCGCGCGCGCGTGCCCGACGACCCCGCGCTGTGGTGAGACGCACGGGGACATAGACACACATACACACATGCTCATGCACACGCAAGCGCATACGCACACACGCACATGCACACGTACACACGCACGCACAAACACACACACACGCAGTTACAATTAGTATAGGCAGTTACATAATAGATTTTATTCTGATGCTTTTTTCAAATTTTCAATAATGGTTTTATGATCGAATTTCAGACGCCAATTTGAGTGTCTTTAACTTTTACTTCCAAACTAATCGAGTGGGGTATCGAAATAAAGGTTTTTTTTAAAAGACGATCAAATATATATATATATATATATATATACAACTTATATGTTTAAACGTAATTTAGAATAAAAAATTGTTAAATATTACTTCAAATGTCTAATTGACAAAAACTAAAAAGCGGTAAATAAATGAATATTCTATAAAAATAAAAAACCCGACTGCATAAAACTTAAAAGCTAAATAAAACAAGTTCACGATGGAATACACGTTTCATCCTTGCCGTGAGATGTACATACTCGTATGTATGTCTCCGACTGCATAATACTATATTCCATAGTGAACTTGTTCTCAACTTTTTAGTTAGCTTTTATGCAGTCGGGGTTTTTATTTCTATAATTTATTTTTAAAGTACGGAACCCTAAAAATGAACCCCTCCAGGTCGGTGCAACACGTGAAGTTGTGGATCCAGTGGGCGGTTCGCCAGTTCAATCTCGCCGGCGTCAAGCTCTCCGACTGGAGCATCAGCGGGACCGAGCTGTGTAACATCACTAATGTCGATTTTAAGTGAGTATCGAGTTGTATATAATATCGATTTTATGTTTTCGAGTTGTTGCCATTAATGTCTATTTCGTGTAAATAATTAAATATCGATTTCTTGTCACTAATACAGGTTTTAAGTGAGTCTCTAATATCGATTTTTCGCTAATACCAATTTTTGTAAGTATCGAGTTGTGTCTAATATCGATTTCAAGTTTTGAGTTATTGTTACTAATGTCGATTTTGAATGAGTTTTGATTTGTTTTTGCTAATATCGATGTTAGGTAAATACCGATTTGTTGTTGCTAATATCGATATTAAATAAATTTTGATTTGTAGTATCGATTTTATGTGAGTATTGATTTGTTGTAACTAATATCGATTTTAAATTAGTATTGATTCGATATCACTGAATTCAATTTTAAGTGAGTATCGATTTGTCGCCACTAATATCTATTTTTTGTTCACAAATAACAAACCAAAAAATATATATATCTGTGCTTCTTTTTTTACGTTGGTTGAACTTTATAAAATTTAAACGTTTAATAAGTTTATGTATATATTTATGTACTACTAGCGACTCACCCTCGCTTCGCTCGGGTTCGGGATGATTTCCGGGATAAAAAGTATCCTTTGTCCTTCTCAGAGTCTCAAACTATCTTCTTACCAAATTTCATCTAAATCGGTTTTCAGAGAATCCAGAGATTACCCCCTACAACGTCACAATCTCCAAACTTTACCTCCTTGTTATATTAGTATAGATATGTATAAAGTCGTGTGTTTCAGAGAGAAGGTGCCATCGGATCCCGGCGATTTGTTTTGGACGCATTTTGAACTTCTAAGGAAATGTAAATTTATAGGTAAATATAAGCTTTTACTTATATTTTATGCGAATTAGACGCCCCCTTTTCACTCCCTTTAGGGTGATTTCCAGGATATAAGCTATCCTATGTCCTTTCCAGGGTCTCAAACTATCTCCATACCAAATTTCATCTAAATCGGTTCAACAGATTAAGAGTGAAACGGTTACAGACAGAGAAGAGTTACTTTTGCATTTACAATATTAGTATGGATTTTAAATGATTTTTTTTTGTAATTTTATCGCAGATTATTTTTATATTTTTTGTTATAGACGTCTAATATAAATATACTTAAACTTTATTTTACATTTAATATATTTTAATTTATATGTTTATTTCCAGCGGTAGTGCAAACCGATGAGCAACCACCCGCAGTGGAGAAAGATACATTAGTGTTGCCACAGTCCGCCATTAAAAAAAAACCTAAACAGGTAACGAATACTTATATATTACTATCTGCCTTTAACTAAATAGCTGGCAAGGTTTCTGATAAACAATTAGAGAATTTCTTTCTAAGATTCATTTGAATATTTGATATTTTAAATAAAACTATCTTTTCGGATGTTTTTCGCGGTTTTATTTTGATTTTTGACCGCCGTGCCCGAAAACGTTCGAATAGACATTATAATCTATATAATTATATAAAACAAAGTCAGGTTTGTTACAACACTTATAACTCAAGAACTGTTGGACCGATTTTTATGGTTTTAGAATTGTTGATCTTTGTTTTGATTCTCCGCCTAGAATAGCAGAATAACTATAAAAAAATAGGAAAAATTGACGAGAAAAAAAATTGAAAAAAAAACTATTCTATACTAAATTGAAAAAAAAAACCTATTCCATACTAAATCAAAACGTACCTAGGGAAGAACCTGAACGAAGCGAGGGTGAGTCGCTAGTAACAAATAAAGAGGTTCAATTAATCTATCAAATAAATGAATTTAATGAAATTAATTAATTTAACCAAACCACTTCCAGTTAATAATCCGTCAGTCGCAAGAGGAGGACAACTACCAGTACGTGAGCAACCGCAACGGCAACAACGGCCAGATACAGCTGTGGCAGTTCCTGCTCGAGCTGCTCACCAGCGCTGAATACTTCGACGTCATCAGGTGGCATGGTGGGTGCACCTATAAAATACTATCGGCTCACCCTCGCTTCGCGATTTGACAAACAAAAACAAATCTATCCCACGGGCACCGTACATTTTTCCGAGATAAAAAGTGGCCTATTTGTTATTCTGATGTATGAACTGTATTATTGTAAAGTTTCATTAAAATCCAATCAGTAGTTTTTGTGTACTAAGCTGTATAAGTTACTGTAGTTTTGTAACTATCAAACGGGAACTCTTTAATTTTTCAGGATGAAAAGTATCTAAAATGTTGACCGGGGATATAAGGTATCACCATGCAAAATTTCATTTAAATCGGTCCAGCGGTTTCGGAAATTAGCCCGTACAAACAGACAAACAGACAGAGAAACAAAAGATTTGAAAAAAATCTGGGTTTGTTCTATTTCTCTTCTTATATCCCCCTGATTAGGATTTTTGTATTTTTTACTATGTACAGACATTCGAGCTCCACAGTTTTATTATATGTATAAATAATGTTAGAACTCATAAGTATTTTTGATGGTCTATAATTTAAAACAATTTGCAATTATACTCCATCGGTATGATGATTTTTCAAATTTAAGTCGAAGAGACATTTCTTCTAGTAATATGTAAATGTTTTTTTTTATATTTCAGGCACAGAAGGAGAATTCAAATTGCTAGAACCCGAACGAGTGGCCCGACTTTGGGGCAAAAGGAAGCACAAGCCCGCCATGAACTATGAAAAGCTTTCGAGAGCACTACGATACTACTACGATGGAGATATGATAGCGAAAGTCGCTGGTAAACGGTGTGTTTAAGTGTTTTGTTATGGGTTTTTTATGGTTTTATGGGGTGGTAGAAAAAAATGGTTTTTTGTGAGTCACACGGAGGTGTATTTAGACTTGTAGTCTAAGTATAAAGAAGACGTTGTACTTATTTATTTATTTATTATTAAGCATACTTACAATACACATGTTAAATAATTCAATCAGACATGCATATCAATAACAAGTGTACATAGCGTTTATAATATTATGAAATTATTATAGTGATTAATGTACTTGTGAATGTCACTGAACTCCTTCTAATCGGCTGGACCGATTTTGATATTTTTTCCTGTTGTACTATAACGTTTTTTCCCGTGGGAATGAGATAATCTCCCGCGGTAAAAAGTAGCCTATGTCACTCCCCAGCCCTCCAACTATCGCCACACAAGAAATCACGCGAATCCGTCTCTCTGCTTTGACGTGAAAGAAGGACAAACAAACAATCACACTTTCACACATTTATAATATTAATATGGATATAATATATTTTCGTTTATTTCCACAGATTTGTATACAAATTCGTGTGTGATTTACGTCAGCTGCTCGGCTACGGCGCGGACGAGCTCGCAAAGCTGGTGAAGGAGGTGTACGACACCATATCTGAGGAAAATCTTAATATTACCTAAGTAATAATTGGTAATCAACGTATTACTGGCTTCTGTTTGTGGATTTGCTTGCGTTCAAATTTAATTTTTAAATTTATACATACATTACCTAAGTAATAATTAGTAATCAACGTATTACTGGCTTCTGTTTGTGGATTTTTTTTCGTTTAAATTTAATTTCAAAATCTATAGATATAATAGAATAGTTTCGAAGCGAAATTTGTACATGAAATATTTTTTAATTTAATGATGGTTGGTTGTCTCCAATATTTGTATGGGATAGTCCGATTTTGATGAAATTGTTGTGAATGGATAGTTTTAGTTTGACGATGTGTTTTGTAATTATGATGGAGTGTTGTAGAAATATTTATTTAATGATTAAAAAAAAATTGAAAATGCTGGATTTTTATGATTTGGTCAAAGAGTGATTTTTTAAGTTTTAAAATTATAATTTTATAGCTTTAGTATTATTATTTTTTAATTAAAAAAATTAGCCATTATTTTTATGTAATAGCATAAAATTATTATTATTATATTATCGGACGGTAGGTTTGGCTCAGTTTGTAGTGATCTTACTTGCTGTGCGGGTTCGAGTCCCGCTGGGGGCATTCGTTTGTGCTATGAGCACGAATGTTTGTACTCCAGTCATGGGTGTTTATATTTATAATATGTATGTATTTAAAGTTATATATGTGTAGTGTATCAACTATCTGGTATCCATAACACAGGCCTCGTAGCTTACCATGGAACTAGATGGTGCTGTGTGTTAATGTCTCAACATATTTATTTACTATTATATTAGAATATAGTGTATTTTTGTATAAATAAAGTTTATTTTTGTTATATTGGTGGTGTTTTTATTTTTTATCTGTTTTGTCTATAAATAAAATTGAAGTGTCCGTCTGTCATTTTTAAGATAACTCTATTTTCCCAAGTAATAGAGAGATTTATATGGTATCAGTAACTAAATAACCCTTTTTTGTTTTGTCTGTCTGTTTGTCCGGCTATGGAATGGCTTAATTGATTGTAATGGGACTTTCATATAGGATGTGTTTTATTCCGGAACCACCTAGGTCTGAGCTGCTACTGAGATTTTTTTAAGAAACTAATAGACATGATGACTGACTCCAAATTCGAACCCAGGACTTAGACTTGTAGCCATACATGCTATTACTATTATAGATGTAAAATTACATGTATATGTGTGTGTTTGTCACTCGTTCATGCTAAAATGGCTGAACGAATTTAGATGAAATTTAGAACAGATAGACTGGAACTGAAGTAACACATAGCTAGTAACGGGGCTAGTATATTATTAAAAAATTGGATAAGTGCTAGTTTTGTGAGTGCACACCAACGGTTCCGTAGTTGTAATTTTTTTTTATGATGTAACTAAAAACTTACGGTTTTCAGATTTTCCCTTTACTTGTGCTTTATGAGATTGTTTCTTGCCAAATTTCATGATTCTAGGTCAACGGGAAGTACCCTGTATGTTTTGCTTCCCTTGCGAGTGTCAAAATATGCGACAAACGGACGTATCTTTTGATTGTGTTGACTTAGAAATTTGACTTTTTCACAGCTCCTAGGGATGGCAGATCTGTGTATTTGATACTAGGCGTTTTCCTGCGGCTCCGCCCGCATAGTACACTAATCACCAACATATCATATACTAAAACCTTCCCCGAAACACGCTGCGTCTTATGGTATAAGTATTATTCCGATCGGTTCAGTAGTTATCGCAGTATAACCGAACAAAAAAATCGGCTCTCCATTTATTAGTACATATAGATAAATTTCAACTTGATAGGTACTTCCACACGTTTCTGAGAAAAAGAATCTTTACAGACAGACAGACAGACGGACCGGACAACAAAGTGAGTCTATTACAATTCCTTTTTTCCTTTAAAAGTTCGGAACCCGAAAAATTATTAAAATACAGGTCGATAATTTATAAATATATGTTATTAGTTATTACATCACTCTCTGTTTGAACAATGGCACATAAAAATAATACGTTATTTTGTTCCTGTCATAATATAATGAATTTATTTATGGGACATTGTTATTTATGTATACCTAAATATATAATAGCTATTTTAAAGCTGTACATTAAATAGCATAAAATCTTATAATATAAGTTTAATTAATCTATATATATATATAATTTTTCTGTACGTGTGTTTGTTGACCTACTCCTCCTAAAGGGCTGGACCGATTTGGATGAAATTTCTGGGTCTTAACACAGCCCCTCATAAAACGGAGGCAATATGGTTTCATAAACTTTCAAATCGCATGAAACCGCCCAGCACATCAATTCGCGTGGGTGACGTAGATATCGAAGTAGGAAACCATCTTAACTACCTAGGTCTTATTTTGGATAGCCGCTGGAGTTTTCAAAAGCACTTTGAGCTACTAATCCCCAAGATACAAGGAGTAGCTGGTGCATTACATCGTTTACTACCTAATCTTGGGGGTCCACAAGAGGGAGTCCGACGATTGTATACAGGAGTGGTGCGATCAAGGGCTCTTTATGGAGCACTCATATGGGCACAAAAACTGTCTGGCAGTAGACGCATCATGACCAAGCTCCATAGCGTTCAGCGTCGGTTAGCTATAAGGGTTGCGAGAGGTTACCGCACAATTTCATTTAATGCGGCTACTGAGTTGGTTTGTTTTCCACCCTTAGATATCCTAGCGAATATGGATGCCAAAACATACAACAGCGTTCGAGAGCTTCATCAGAGAGGTGAACAGGCACACAGACAAGTCTCTATTGAATGGCGTGCACGATTGGAGAGTGAGAATAATTCACGCGCTGTTAATGCTATCCTTCCAAACTTTGAAACTTGGTTAGGAAGAAAGAAGGGTAGTATTACATTCAGATTAACTCAGATACTTACTGGACCTGGATGTTTTAGTGAGTATCTTTATCGGATTGGCCGTGAAACGACCCCACAGTGTCACCATTTCGATGGTGAATGACACAACACACGCTAGAGCACTGTTCAGCGTGGAATTCCGAGCGGAGTAATTTAATACAAAATGTTGGAGGAGATCTCTCCTTGTCGTCTATAGTGGCGGGTATGCTAGCAGACGATAATGTATGGGATACAGTAACCTCTTTGTGAGACAGTCCTTATTAAGAAGGAGATTTCAGAACGAGAACGAAAGAGGGCCGATCCCGCTCGACGAAGACGAAGGCGAAGGGACGCTGGTAATACACGTTCCCGTACATTAACAACATAGCTTTTTTAAATGGACATAGGACCATGGAAGCATCTCTAAGCTCCTAGGGGACTGTTGAATGTTAGAGATGTGCTTAGTGTAGCATCGCGCAAGGAGAGTACCGGTGCGTTCTTAAAGGGGTGCTTTCCGTTATACGCAGTAGATGGTAACCGAGGGGGTTTTAGTAGGTAAAAATCCTACATATCCTAACCATCTCGTACGTTGGTTGGATATCTTTGGAAGATTTCCTTCCTTGTTCAATAAAAAAAAATAAAGAAAAAGGTACCTACACTCGCCAGAACTGAGAAATCTATACTATTTGAAGGCACCATTTTATTCACTCATTTTCATTTAATTTTTAAATATAGGAATTAAAATTTAGGTAGATTTAATTATATTTATGTTATTTTTCATTAAACGAAATAATTCTGCCTCACTCTTTCTACAAGATTCTATAACTGCATCATACTTTCTAGCGTCCTTAGTGTTACATATTGTGTATCTGTAACTTTGTCTATAATTTATGGTCAACTTGATATGAAGAATTGTCTGTAAGATAGATCTCTCTTGTCTCTGGTCCGCAATAAAGATGGTCGATCCTGTAAGTTCCTAGTTTCAATTAATAAAGCCTTAGAAATAAAGAACCCAAAACAAAACGAAATATGGTGTCATAAATGGGATTAAAAGTCAAAAAAGGAAAAAGTTAAAATGTCTGAACAAATATTCATGTCTGGGATAAAACCGTTAGCTGTGAACAATGGCAACGTGTCGGAACAATGGCGTCGATGGAAGCAAAAATTCGAAATTTTTTGTGACGCAAATGATATTAAAAAACAAGATGAGACAAAGCAAGTGGCTATTTTTTTGAACACAATTGGTGATTATGGCATTGAAATATATAATTCCTTCAACATCGACAGAAAAAATATTTCTTTGGAAAATCTGATAAAAGCGTTCGATGAGAAATTTAATCCTCAAAGTAATATCACAGTAGAAAGATACAATTTCTTCACAAGGACTCAACAAATAGATGAATCTTTAGACAACTATGTAACAGTATTAAACAATTTGGCTATGTCTTGTGAATTTAATACATTGAAAGATTCTTTGGTTAGAGATATGTTTGTTATTGGCATTCAAAATTCAAAAATTCGTGAAAGTTTGCTTCAGCAGGAAAAATTAACACTGGAAGATGCATTAAAAATTGCTAAAAGCATGGAACTGTCCCAGGAGCGTTCGTCAAGAATCACACAGTCGCATACACCCAAGGAATTATCCAACAATATTCAAGCGCTGAAAAACATTAACAATCATAGAAGTAGATCGATCTCAAAAACAAGAAACAAGAAAAACAGAAATTCAAGTCAAAGTTCATCAAGAAAAAGGTCTCCATCACAAAACAAAACTTGTAGGCGATGTGGTCAAGTGCATATATATAAATGCCCAGCGGAAGGAAAAACATGCAACATTTGCAAGAAGACAAACCATTTTGCCAATTACTGTTTTTTCAACAAAAATAACAAGTCGGACAAGAGACATATTAGTAGTGTAAGTAGTAATAAGAATTCTAACTCTGACAATAACTATTTTATAATTAGTAATTTGACTGACATTGAAAATAATAATAATAATTGTAATAATGAGGAATGGAAAATAAATGTAAAATTGAATAATTATTTAATAAAATGTCAAATTGATACAGGAGCTGACGCGAATGTCATATCAAAAGACACACTTGATAAAATGATGACTCACACTAATAAGAAAATACCTATTCAGAGAACAAATAATAAAATTTTCTCATTTTCAGGCCAAGTAGTACCAAATATAGGCAGCTGTATACTAAAATGTGAATTTGAAAATAGTCTTACAACTAGCATATATTTTATTGTAGTCAATTGTAAATGTCAAACTATTTTAGGATGGAAAACCTGTGAAAAACTAGGTATTGTCAAAAGAATTTTTAAAATTCAAAAGGATTTGCAAAAGGACTTGGATTCGGAAAGGTCAGTACAAGATATTGTTTCTAACTATTCACAAACATTTGAGGGAATAGGATGTCTTCCAAATGAAGTTCATTTAGATATTGATGAAAGTGTTACACCTAAAATTTGCCCAGTACGTAGGATTCCATTTACTTTACAAAATCGTTTAAAAAATGAATTAGAAAATATGGAAAAAGTAAATATTATTGCTAAAGTCACAAAACCAACTAAATGGGTCAACTCTATAGTTCTTGTTGAAAAGCCCAATGGTTCATTACGCGTATGTCTTGATCCAAGAAACCTCAATGTAGCAATAAAAAGACCTCATTTTCCATACCCTACATTTAATGATCTTCGATCACAAGTAGCTGGTAGTACAATTTTTTCTAAACTTGATGCTAGTTCTGGTTACTGGACAATTAAATTAGACGAAGAAAGTAGTGATTTGTGTACATTCAACACACCATTCGGAAGATATAAATTCTTAAGACTTCCCTATGGAATAAATTGCAGTGGAGAAATTTTTCATAGAATAATGAATGATATTTTTGGTGATTTACCTGGTATTATAATTTTCGTTGATGATATATTAGTTCATGGAAAAAATCAATCGGAGCACAATCAAAGACTTGAAGCTGTATTCAAGCGTGCTTCTGAAGTAAATTTAAAATTCAATAGAGAAAAATGTAAATTTGGTCTTTCAGAAATCTGTTATGTTGGTCACATTTTCAATAAAAATGGAATATCTCCTGATAAATCAAAAATTGAGGCTATAATTAAAATGGCTAGTCCAAAAAATGTTAAAGAATTGCAAAGATTCCTTGGCATGATAAATTATTTAGGTTCATTCATTCCAAACTTAGCAGAAGAAACCAATATTCTTCGTGAATTACTGAAAAAGCAAAATATTTTCCACTGGACTGAAAATCATGAAAATCAGTTCAATAAATTAAAATCTATTATTTGCAAGTCACCAGTACTGATTCATTATGATGTCAATAAACCTGTCAGAATGTCTGTTGATGCTTCTAAAAATGCAGTAGGTGCTGTAATATTTCATGGTGATAATCCAATTGCATATGCATCAAAATCCTTAACAAATGTCAGGAACAGTATGCACAAATTGAAAAAGAACTTTTCGCAATAGTCTTCGGTTGTAAAAAATTCCATCAATATGTTTATGGAAAACCTATTAATGTAGAAACAGACCATCAACCCTTGGTGACTCTTTTCAAAAAATCATTGTGTGAAGTACCTACAAGACTTCAAAGAATGATGATAACATTACAGGCTTATCATTTAATTGTGTCATACACAAAAGGTTCAGAAATGTACATTTCAGACACTCTTTCTAGAGCACCAGTAGATGATTGTAACAACTCTTTAAATAGTTTAATAGATTTTGAGCAAAATTTAAATATTCATATTAATCTATTAACATCGAATTTAGCAATTTCTCAAGAAAAATTAGAAAAAATTTCTAAGCATTCAAACCAAGATTTAACATTACAAAAACTTAAAGAATATTTTATCAACGGATGGCCTAAAAGTAAAAATCATTGTAATAATTTAGTTCTTCCATATTGGAATATAAAAGAAGAAATTCATGTAATAGATAATTTACTTTTCAAAAATAATTCTGTTATAATTCCAATTTCCATGAGATCAGAAATTCTGAATATTCTACATGAAGGACATTTAGGCATTGAAAAAACTAAAAATTTAGCCCGTGGTACAGTTTATTGGCCTAGTATGAATCATGACATAGAAAATAAAATAAAGCAATGTGAAACATGTGCTATGTACAGTTCAAATAAGTCAAAAGAATCACTTTTGCCTCATGAAAAATCTATATTTCCTTGGCAAAGACTGGCAACTGATTTATTTGATTATAAAAATCAGAAATATTTGCTGGTAGTAGACTATTATTCTAACTTCATTGAAATAGCTAATTTAAAAAATGACAGTAGAAGTTCTTCAGTAATAAATAATTTAAAGTCAATTTTTTCAAGGCACGGAATCCCATTGCAATTAGTCAGCGATGGTGGTCCTCCATATAATTCAAAAGAATTTAAACAATTTCTTCAAGATTGGGACATTGAACATATAGTTACAAGCTCATATTTGTCTAGATCCAACGGCTTAGCCGAAGTATCTGTCAAAACAATCAAAAATATTTTTAGAAAATGTGAGGAATCTGGCACAGATCCACACATAGGACTATTACAACATAGGACTACACCGAGAGGTAATATGCATTCACCTTCTCAATTACTCATGTCGAGACAGTTAAGGACTAAATTACCTACTAAAATTAGTCAATTGAGACCTAAAGTTGTAAAATTCTCAGAATATTCTTCAGTCAAAGACAAAAATTTACAAAAAACTAAATCTTATTATAATAAAAATTGTAAAAAATATGAAGAATTTCAAGTCAATGATAAGGTATATTTTAAGAAAAATCCAAAAGATATAATATGGACAAAAGGTTCAATCATATCAAAAACTAAATTTCCTAGATCATTTATAGTCAAGGACAATTTAGGTAGTACATACAGGCGTAATTCTCAACATATTCGACCTGATTATAGTCTAAATAATAAACAGTCTGTAAATAACAAAAAATCAATTAGATTTGAGAATCATAATAATAGTCAAACAAATAAGTCACAAACATTTTTTCAAAAGGAAAAGGATGATGATGATTGTTCTTTCATAATTACTCAAAAGAAATTAAATTTATCTTATACTCAAAGTCTATTGTCAAGTCCAATACAAAAACAAGTAGATAACTATATTTTAAGTCAAAGTGAGTCGGATACTTATAGGTCAATTGGTTCAGAGTTAAATGAATCTGTATCTAGTTCGAAGTCGTGTCAATCTGTACAATCTCCTGAATTCGTCAATGTAGATAATAATATGTCAGATGAAAGCTTACATGATCATAACGATTATGAAGAGGAAATTCATTTACCTAGTCCTCCTGAATCATGTTTGCAGGAAATGTCTAATATTGTAATATCTCCTAACGATGGCAACAATGTACCTGATAATGAATATCAATATAGTTCTAGAGGTAGACGAATAAAAAAGACTCAAAGACTGAATTTGTAATAATTTTAATAATAAAATGTTTAACAATTTCATAATTAAAATAAATTATTGTAAATATTGTAAGTATAATTAACTATTTCAGGATTGCACTAGTTAAGTCATTTATTAATTTTTGTCTAATTCACTATTGTAATTTAATTATAAATTTATATCTAAGATACCTAAATGTAAAATAAAATTTGTAACTCCATTGTATTTCCAATTTTAAGGTTATGCCCAATTGTCACTGTCAACTTCAAATTGAAATGTCATTAATGTCAAAGTCATGTGTCAAAATTTTCTTTTTAAAAAAGGGGCATGTTACATATTGTGTATCTGTAACTTTGTCTATAATTTATGGTCAACTTGATATGAAGAATTGTCTGTAAGATAGATCTCTCTTGTCTCTGGTCCGCAATAAAGATGGTCGATCCTGTAAGTTCCTAGTTTCAATTAATAAAGCCTTAGAAATAAAGAACCCAAAACAAAACGAAATACTTAGCATCGAGAGTGCTAAAGAAAAATATAAGAATTTCGCCTCTGAATTCCAATGATCTTTTTACCTTATTTGGCGAATTTTTGATAATAAGAACAGATAAACAATTAAGTGTTAAAAAGATAGATTGAATAAGTATTTCAATAGAACTAGAAAAAATCTTTAGATTCAATAAATTCTTTAGATTTAATATTTTTACAGAGACTTCGCGTTTTACGTAAGAGATGCTCAAGGTTATTAAGATAAGGTTCTAATGAAATTAACTCCTGTCCGCGAATTTCCGGGTAATTAATTGTTAACATACACACGGGTGTTTATGCCAACTCTCAACGGGTGTATTTTATTTTTAATATTTTTGGGAAAAATACTGTGAAGTATATTACATAGAAATAAATAATTATATATAAAAACACAAAGCAGTAAAGTTTACACTTAAAAATCCATACTAATATTATAAATGTGATAGTGTATTTGATTGTTTGTTTGTTTGTCCTTCTTTCACTTGGAAACGGAATGACCGTAATTACGTTATTAGGTAGATCTCATAGAAATCTAACTCTTGCATTTGTCATCATGGTGGAATTTTCACATTCCTTTTTAATTTTTTAAAATTAAATTTCTACTCAATAATACATTTTCAATTTTTTTTCTGTGCGTGGGGCCCCTAGCCATTGCGGGGCCCAAAGGCAGTTGCCTAAACTGCCTTATGGTTAATCCGGCCCTGTTTTCTTTCTGTTTACTTATTTTTATACGCAATCGCGTATAAAAATAAGTAAAATTATTTTCACAAGAATCAGCAATAAAAGATTTAATAATGTCTTTAAGACAAGGCTTAGCATAAGACATAGATTTAAAACTATTATTACTATATTTAGTGTCATAATACAAATTATTATAAGAATTTGCATTGGTGCCCTGTAATATCGATTTCGGCGGGCACTGATTCGAAATCGATTTTAATTTAAATCGGACTCAGTAGTTTTCTTCTTCTTCTTCGTGTATTTCATTGCTGAAGGTCACGCTTGTCCTGGAATGCTTTTACCGATTTGTCGACTAGCTTCCTCTACACCACTCTATCCTCGGCTTGTCTCAGGGCAGTTATATTTTGAATTTGGTCGGACCAGCGGGTAGATGCTCGACCGCGTGATCTTTTGCCTTCAATCTTCCCTACTACAACCAGTTTGTCCAGATTGTCTGGTTGTCTCCGGGCGATGTGACTAAAATAACTTAGGACTCGTTGGT